GGTTAATGACTCGTTTAGAGAACCTTTTCATATGATAATTTTTTGAGATAGGGATTTTTGATTTTTCTTTACTTCTTTGCCAAAATCATCAATATTAAAACAATAAAAGGCTTGAACTACTTCAGTTGGTGTGCAATGAATATAAAATATATGAAAGTTTAATGTTTATCAGTATATTACAGAAAATAATGAAATTTATCACAATATGCWAATTTTTTGAGAAGGACCTGTATATAAGCAACTGGGAGCTTAGGAACTGTAATGTGTCTTTCTCAAGAACACCACATGTGGGCTTAGTGGGGGGTCGAACCTGTGACTTTCTGGGCCCAAGACRACTGTCCTAGCACTGCATCACAGCCGCCTCACATATAAAAAATATGAAAGAATGGAAGACAACATTAGAGTTTGCATAAGCCTTTGAGATTTTGGAAATTGCTGCATCTTTAAAGAGATTTAATCCTCTTTCATCTGTGGACTAGCTGTTTTTGTCCAACAGGACTAACTGAGTAAAACAGCTAGTCCTGTTGGACATAAACTCTTCTCCAAACTGACCTTATCCACAGAGCTGTAACAGGTTCATATACACACTTCTAATAACTTTTACACAAAACTACACTTCAAAACAGCCAAATGTTCTTTTTAACCTAAATTCTGTTGTTGCAACAGAAAAATGTATTTTAAATTTAAGACACTTCTCCTGCATTTGCCTGCAGGATGAATAGGAACCATCCTGTTTAATCTCTGTGAATGATGGAAAAATATTTCGTCAAGACATTTGGCTAAACGTGAAATAGGTTTCGGCTCTTTAAAGCTGCATCTGCAGTTTAAATGATGCAGATGAACAGAAATAAACAACAAAGAAGAGTCTGATTAGAAGAGGTCAATTTTCCTTCCTGAATGATCCACAGTGAAAACACATTCTGCTCCATTTAACAAGACTCGATCCACAGCAATATACAACACATAACTGAGACGAGGGACAGATTTTGTAGTCAGTGATGTGATACATACAGCCTGAGCCGTTGTTCTGTTTCCTGGCTCTCAGACATCAGCCTCACTTCCACATCGGCACTCTTCTCCATGCCTGAAACCTCCAGCTTTAGCAGGATGTGATGAGCTGAGGAACAGCATCATGGCAAACTTGACATTTTGCAGCTCCTTAAACAAGTCAAAAGTGTTTTTTCCCAAATCAAAAGAGAAGTTTGCAACAAGTATTACAACAATTTGAAGAGGTCACCTCTCTTAGCCCAAATCATGTGAAAAATCAGCAGCCTGAACTGTTCAGAGTTTTTCTTTGGTTTTATTTAATCATCCTGAAACATTGATCTAAAGCTGTTGAAGAAAATTTTGTAAATGATTGACTAAATGTTAGATGCAGTTTTGTATTTTATACATCCTGATCGTTGCAGCCTTTAAGCCTTAACAGAATGAGAGTTGGTGTGTCTTATGTGCAGTGGCGGAGCCAGACATTTTTCTCAGGGGTGGCCAGATGGGGACCACTACTCACACAGGGGTGGCCAGATGGGGACCACTACTCACACAGGGGTGGCCAGGAAAATTACATCATTTTTTTACTTTAAAGTTTCTGCAGATCTTTGTGTTTTGGTCATTTCTTTATGTTTTTATACAGGCAGTGACTACCTTATAAACATGGGTGTCAGAACCATTTTAAAAGTGGATGGACACACCGTTGGGGGGGGGGGGGGTCCTCCCCCAGAAAATTTTGAACGAAAAAGATGTCTTTTCCAGCATCCTGGTGTATTTTACCAGGTTGTTTAACATACTTTTTCCTATATAAACAAACACTTGATTTAATAATTATTTCAGCGACAGATTCTTCATTAAACTAGTTTCATCATCCTGTTTTAAATCACTGCTATATCTGAGATAATGTTAATAAATGTCACTATTTATCATATCTAATGACTTTAAGGGTACTTTTTGCTTTTATGTTTATTGATTTACTTTTAATTTTAACATGTCATTGTGCCAAATAATGATGACCTTCAACTGCATGTTTAAAACTAACTTTACCCAATGAACAGGTGTAATATTGATAACCACCAACAGTGAATTTAAAGGGGAATTTCACTTTTTATTTAGTGATAGGTCTACTCATAACTAAAAGGGACAGAGCACCATGCAGCCTTCAGAACATAAAATGACACTGTGTTATGGTGACAAAAAAACATTTGTCGCCATAAGTCAGATTATATACAATCAATTCTTTGTCACGTCTTTGAGCTTGGTGATGTTTCAAACTGTTAAACACTGCCACCAACTGTTCAGGAGGATTATTACTCCACTAAAGGTTGTTTCACTGTGGAAGCGGTGTGTACAGCAGGGTGACCAATGGGGAGGCCAAAGATTTGTCTGTGGTGGCCATGGCCACCCCTGGCCACCCCCTGGCTCCGCCCCTGCTTATGTGCTTTTTCTTTTAGCCTAAACAAAAATGAGTTACGTTCTATGTCTGACGTAAAACGTAACACCTCCAGGGATGTAACCAAGAAGAGATGAACATTATAAGGTCAGTTCATTATGACAGTAGAGAAGGGTTTTCAGAAGAAGTTGTCAGTGTGTTGTAGAGTCTCYGCTCAGAGCRGGGCTCCTGTGTTTTGTTTTGGTTCAGTCCAAGGTCTYATGGTGAGGCCTGTGTTGCATTTGCTCTACTGTGAGCCTGATTGGAGTCAGAAAACTAAGAATAAAGTTTYAAGAAGAAWCCARTGGWTTCCTGTTTTATTCAGACATTTTGAACAAAGCATAATTTTGCTACACTACAAAACAAAATACTGTAATATTACAACTTGGTTCTTACCACAAAACGGAGGAGAAGAAGTTGTGAGGAGGAACAGTTTCTGCTCCCTGGGAAGAGGTAAAGTGGTTATCCCAGAGTTTTTAGATAATCCTGAAAAAGTAAAACTCAGAATCACTGTGTGTAGGGATGTGGATAAATTTTTAATCCTACACCAATATTAAATCTGACAGCCGATTCCAAAAAAACATTTCAAACCATACAAAATAAAACCAAAATCATGTGATTATCTGAAGTCTGAGGGAAGTTATTGATGTTTGTTTAGGTGAAATCAGCTCATGTTTTCTTGCTGCAGTTCACAACGGAACCAATGGGGCCTTTGTGACCATTTCACCTGCTATTTTCTAATTTTGCTCATAACTTCCTCAGTGTTCAAGATATCGCCATGAAATTTTAGGAAAAGATTCCCATTCTGGTTTTATAGGAAGCGCCTTGTATCCTAAAAAACTAATAAAACTTAATAATAACCAATTCAAAAGTAGCAGAAAAGGTATAAAATAACATTACAAGGCAAACTGTAGCATCAAATCAATAATGTGTCTTAGAAAGTAAGGAAATTAAAACAATTTAAAAACCATGTGGACATCTGTTTAGTAAACAAAGCTCCTCAACCAATGACAGCGTGTTAAATGTGTCAAGTGATGAAGACGAGCATCAAAACACTTTGCAACAAGCGCTGTTCCGGATTAAAAAAAATATTTCGACGTTTCAAATCATTATCAAATTTGGAACAAGGGCAGATAAAATAATGTTCTTCATGGCAGCTTATCTTTTTAAGGGGTCACTAGAAAAACTCGAGTGATTTACTTTGATCCTCTTTTCAAAAAATTGTCTCTTCAAAACGCATCAACAAAAATTAAAAACTTGAAGACGAGGCTGTAGCTAACTATCTGACGGCAGCCMGATTTGTTGAAATTCGTAGAAATAACGAAGCAGGAGGAAATAAGAAGTAAACGCACCGAGCAGCCTTGCAAAATCTGGTCACAGCAGTTTGGGAAAAAAATGGCAGCAGCTGCTGACGAAATGTCAACATCCCTTGACAGATGTTGGGTGTGTGGTCCTGTGTTTTGTTGGTTTATATTTAATTTACTTCTAATCGCTATTTCAATCTTTCTATCTTTCTAATTACTTCTCTCTCTGTTTTTCTCTCTGTCTCTATTTTCTCTTCACTTAAAAAAAAGTCACTGATGATGAAGAAATAAATNCGTAGAAATAATGAAGCAGGAGGAAATTACAAGCAAACGCACCGAGCAGCCTTGCAAAATCTGGTCACAGCAGTTTGGGAAGAAAATGGCAGCAGCTGCTGACGACATGTCAACATCCCTTGACAGATGTTGGGTGTGTGGTCCTGTGTTTTGTTGGTTTATATTTAATGTACTTCTAATCGCTATTTCAATCTTTGTATCTTTCTAATTACTTCTCTCTCTGTTTTTCTCTTTGTCTCTATTTTCTCTTCACTTAAAAAAGTCACTGATGATGAAGAAATAAATAAACTAAATAAACTAATATTTGGTTTCGTTTTCTACTGAAGTGACACAAAAATATTAATTATGAACATTTGTTTAACCTCAAAAGTACAGTTTTTAAATTAAATGTTGCTGAAACAGCAAGTTTCTCAGTGGATCTGCGCTCAAAAATGCAGCCTAGGTGGAGTAGTCGAACACAGATCCACTGATCCTTCAACACAGAGCATCTTCAGAAGACAAGTTGATAAAGTAAATTTTAAAACTCTGTATTGTTCGATACAGCACTGTTCAATACGGTTCGATACGGTTCGATACAGTTCGATAGGGGTACATGTATTGTTGCACCCCTACTGGATATATATTTGGATTCAGATCACTGAATTTCTAGACTGGCTTGGTGGTCTCCTGGTCTTCTGCAAAACAGCGTCGGTGACTATTAAGGCCATTTCCTGACTGCCTGGCTAATATGAAGGATTGTTGCACTATCAGCACTCAGACTCAAGCCCTGTGCGAGCTGGGACTCGGTCTGCAAGTAGTTCTTGCTGAGGGTTGCGGGCCGGCTGCGGTCCCTGGAATTCACTGACGAGATGGAATTGATCTTGGAGAAGKTGATAGCTCGGYRGGRTTGTCCACACTAATTGGTCWGATTGGATTTGCCAAATTGGGATATAGCAGTGGACATTAAGGCAGATGGAAAACTATTATTGTCTGCCTGACCGAAAACATTTTCTTCTGTTCCCAAACAACTGATTACAGAATCGGCTCTCCCCCTACATGGCCTTGAAGGGCTGTGGATCTTAAATTCTCCTGGATATTTTTGTGTACTGAGGCTCTGCACCCCCCTGCTGAAGGCAGAGTGAACAATCAACATCATTATGGCTGGGCAGGTTTTTTGGGGACTAGATTCTTCGGGCTCATTCTACAGATATTCACACAAGTGCATACAATCATGGCTTCAGATACACTGAACCCCCTAAACTCACTTCTCTGGCTAATAAATGTGTAATTTGCAGAGGCTGTTTTCAACCCATATTGTGTCCTTTTAGGGACAAAGTATGAGATGTTTTTTTTATCACCACCTATCCTCATGTTGGCTTTTCTTTTTCTTTCAAGGGTAGCGCCACGCACGTCTGCTGGACCCGGGGCACCTGTTCTCCAGGTCAGTTGTGTTTTGTCTGTATCTTTTTGAATGGGTTGTTCCRAATTGTAATTTCCCTTCATGGGATCAATAAAATTTCATTCATTATGGCAGCTAATATGGCTGTAAGCGTTTTTGTATAACTTTAACACTGTGGTTTAGAAGAAAAAAATCAATAACTTGTACACCCAGTTTTTGCTGAAGTTGAAATTGTGCAACCATTCYACCATGAAGAAAGAATGGTGTAAATCAGTAAAATAATACCAATTATGTGTATAAACCTGCATATCGTGTAAAAAAAAGATGTTAGGTTATTGTACCTTTGAGTCTCAATCAATCATCTTGCTAATTTTGCTTCAAGGGGCAGTTTTTCTTCATCATCATCACCACCATCTTCTCCAGCAGTGTTGCTTAAGTCTTAGTTTGTATCATTTCTTAAATCACGTAAAGCACTTTGCCTTGCTGCTGAAAAGTGCTATATAAATAAATTCTACTTTACCTTACCTTTTTCACACATTTGTAGGAGAGTTTGTGCTGACTGACATTTCTGTTCACCCACAACTAACTTACATTTCCCTGACGTGTTGAGTTTTCACTTTTTCACCCTTCAACTTAAAAATAAGCTGTGCTGAATCTCTCTGACATCTGCAATGACAACTACTTTCCATTCATTAGCAGCTACTTGCCACCGAACTGGAGAGACAAAATGTGATTTTATTTTAGTTTAACTTTAGACCCAAACGTTCAAATTCAACCACAGAACAAGGATGAACTAAAATCACAACAAAATATTCTAAACTGTAAAACGTAACATTAGGTTTTTTTTTGTTGACTGTTGAAGGGCAGGGTTTGTGTGATGCAACTGGTAAAATATGGACTTTTCCAGTTACATATCCAATTATAAACTTATAATTTGATAGAACTTTGCCTAAACTGTTGGACCAGATCGGTGCAATAGCCTCAGTTATGATTTGGTTGGATACTTTAGTGTCAAGTTCAACATTTTTTTGATACAAAAAAAGAGAAATTTCCATGCACTTCTTAACTTGTAATTTATTGACATTAATTATGAACATTTGATTAACCTCAAAAGTACAGTTTTTAAATAAAATGTTGCTGAAACAGCAAGTTTCTCAGTGGATCTGCGCTCAAAAATGCAGCCTAGGTGGAGTAGTCGAACACAGA